GCGTACGTGCAAGGTTGGTCCGGACCGCTTCATCCCACGATGCCGCCGAATCAAGATATATAAGACTAGTAACAGCAAGTAAATTGACAAAATCGACGCCCACAACAACTTGTGTTCTACTCGTGCATAGAAAATACGCATAGACCTAGCTCTGATACCATTGTTGGGGATCATTACAGAAATTAAAAAATTTCTATGCATCACCAAGATCAATCTATGGAGAGACTAGCAAGAAGAGAGAGGGGAGTGCATCTTCATACCCTTGAAGATCGTGAAACAAAAGCGTTGCAAGAACACGGTTGGAGGAGTCGTACACGTAGCGATTCAGATCGTGGTCGATTACGATCTTAGCGCCGAACAACGGCGCCTCCGCGTTCAACACACGTGCAGCCCGGTGACGTCTCCCACGCCTTGATCCAGCAAGGAGGAGGGAGAGGTTAGGGAAGACAACTCCAGCAGCAGCACGACGACGTGGTGGTGTTGGAGCAGCGGTTCTCCCGCAGGGCTTCGCCAAGCTCAAGCGGAGGAGGAGAGGTGTTGGAGAGGGGGAGGGCTGCGCCTTGGATGTGGTGCTGCTTCCCTCCCTCCTCCCCTCTATTTATAGGGTGGAAGGGGAAGGGGGCCGGCCCCTCTAGATGAGATCTACAGGGGCGGCAGCGGCCAAGGGGAGGGGGCTTGCCCCCCAAGCCAAGGAGGGCGCCCCCTTTAGGCCCCCCCAACCCTAGGCGCATGGGCCCTAGGGGGCGCCCATCCCACTTAGGGGCTGGTTCCCTTCCACATACAGCCCATAGGGCCCTCCGGGGTAGGGTGGACCCTCTCGGTGGACTCCCGGCCAACCCCTGAATACTTCCGGTGACCGTATGATGACTTCCCATATATAAATCTTCACCTCCGGACCATTCCGGAACTCCTCGTGACGTTCTCATCTGGGACTCCGAACAACAGTCGGTAACCACATACAAACTTTCCCTATAACCCTAGCGTCATCAAACCTTAAGTGTGTAGACCCTACGGGTTCGGGAATCATGCAGACATGACCGAGACATCTCTTCGGCCAATAACCAACAGCGTGATCTGGATACCCATGTTGGCTCCCACATGTTCCACGATGATCTCATCGGATGAACCACAATGTCAAGGATTCAAGCAATCCCGTATACAATTCCCTTTGTCAATCGGTATGTTACTTGCCTGAGATTCGATCGTCGGTATCCCAATACCTCGTTCAATCTCGTTACTGGCAAGTCACTTTACTCGTTGCGTAATGCATGATCTCCGTGACTAACTACTTAGTCACATTGAGCTCATTATGATGATGCATTACCGAGTGGGCCCAGAGATACCTCTCCGTCATACGGAGTGACAAATCCCAGTCTCGATTTGTGCCAACCCAACAAACACTTTCAGAGATACCTGTAGTGCACCTTTATAGTCACCCAATTACGTTGTGACGTTTGGTACACCCAAAGCACTCCTACGATATCCGGGAGTTACACAATCTCATGGTCTAAGGAAATGATACTTGACATTAGAAAAGTTATAGCAAATGAACAACACGATCTTGTGCTATGCTTAGGATTGGGTCTTGTCCATCACATCATTCTCCTAATGATGTGATCCCGTTACCAATGACATCCAATGTCCATAGTAAGGAAACCATGACCATCTGTTGATCAACGAGCTAGTCAACTAGAGGCTCACTAGGGACATGTTGTGGTCTATGTATTCACACATGTATTACGGTTTCCGATCAATACAATTATAGCATGAACAGTAGACAATTATCATGAACAAGGAAATATAATAATTACCATTTTATTATTGCCTCTAGGGCATATTTCCAACAATATGAAGCTAGGTGGGTGGAGGATAGATGCCAAAATAATTCCTGTCGTAAGTGGCAAGGGTTCTTCTCGATTGTCAGGCTCGAACTCCAACACATATGATGAAGATCGCCAATCTAGGTCATGTCTCCTTGACCAAATCGGGGATGAGACAGGAGCTAGGTGACAATGGGGTTGGTACCAGTGGAAAATCCCAATTTATTATGATTGGTGGCCATCAATTTCTTAATCAAATTGAAGGGTAAAAAACCTGGACCTAAGAGTGGAGGTGAAGGAGGTACCGGTGGATAGAGATTATTTTGCTCCAAATGAATGGAAGGCGGGCATATAAACAAGGATTGCATAAAATATGTTCATTGTATCCTGCATGGAAAAGAGTCACACCTGACTGAAGATTGTGTTTGCCTTAAGCAGATCAAACATGTTGCTAAGTATGTTGGTTTTGCTGCTAAAGGTCTGGAGTGCCTACTGATACAGAACACTACGGACATTAATAACACCAAGCATGTCAATCCTTTGGCTTTAATTGAAGTTACTTCTAGTGAGATTCATGAGACACGAATTCTGCAAGGGTTCAACAGAATGTTTAGTTGAAATTGACAATGAAGAGGAAAGCAACAGGGTGAAAAGCTTTTGTTATGAGATTCCTCGGTATGGTCAAGTTGGTGAAACTAACCATTTTTGACAAGTTTAATTTACTTGGTACTGGAGCTATGATCAAGGTTTCCAAGTGGTCTCATGAGAGTCACACTATTGAGAAGTTGAATTAGATTTGGTAAGGTGCCAGACTGCTTGAGAACATATATTGTTTTGTAATGTGTGAACTTGAGACTGCTTTGGGTCTAGTGCTAAAAGTTGATATTGTAATAATTTGTGAGATGCCCTCTAAATTGATGGTGATGGATTGTCAGCATGTCTCGCATGAGGTGATGCTCCAACCAATGTCGCTTCAACGATTTATAGTTCTCATCTCAAGGGGCGATTGACTACTGCAATTTTGGAAGCTTGGCGTGGTGATGGTGTGTGTAGGTGTCTTTTTCCTTTACTATTGGTTCGGTGCAATTTTCAACCTCCGCCGAACCTTATACAATCAAAGGAAGAAGAAAGCTAGTATGATTTTTAATATAATTTTATTTTTTGCTGGTCGTGATGTGTCTAGTTGTTTGTTCATTGTACTGGCTTTTGTTTTCTTGATATTATTTTCTTTGTCCCACCCCGCGATTAACGAGAAAACTGACAAATCTCTATCTAATAATAAAGGGAGAAGTGTTTCTGGCCGTCCATCGCCACTTTTGCATACACCCCCTACTTCCCTGAAATCAACCCGTGGTCTCGTTTTAAAGTGAGAATAGAAAAAATATCTCGTGTTTTGGACACACACCCCTAAGATTTCTGTTAACCAATCCGTGGTCTTATTTTAAGTGGGGATAGAAACCGTTTTGCTATTTATAGAACAACCCCTGAGGTTTTGGTTAATAAACCCGTCGTCCGTCTATTCAAATGTTTTTTAAAATATTCATATTCATATCTTTTAAATCGTAACTCCAAATTAACCATGTTATATATGAAAATTGACTAAAAAATTGTGTAGAATCTTAATATGATGTTATTTTTACCCATTATTCATTTTTAATTGCTGTTTGGGAACAAAATATAATACTTTTAAATAATATTCATATCTTTTAAACCTTAACTCCAATTTTGATATGTTATACATGAAAATTGATTAGAAAAATGTGTAGAATATGAATATGATGTTGTTATACCTATTAATAATTTTCTAAATGTTGTTTAGGATGCAACCTTAATCAGTAGTGCACGACCCGTCTTTCTTTCGTACCGTTTCCGATCCAGATTAAAAATGAACACGTCAGCAAAATAGATTGGAGACGAAAGAAATCATCTATTTCTCTTTTGCAGGAAAACATTCAATCTATTCATCTTTAATCATGGTGGTACAACGAACATCAGAAATAATAAAAATTACATCCAGATCCGTAGACCATCTAGTGACGACTACAAGCACGCATGTCCGTGGACGAGGTTGGGAAGAAGGATAAACATCAACACTGATAAGATGCCATGTTGTCATAAAGGACGTGGACCTATTGAGATCTTGAGTCATGATTGATGTGTTAGAGACGTGTGGTATTTGTTTTTTTCGGTTGCAATGCAGGAGCTTTTTTCGCCTGAATTATATCCTTCTCGCCCGATTGATTCCGGGATCATGTAAAGGAGAGCAGGTCGACGTCTGTCCCTTTGCTGTCGGCTCCGGAACGGAATCATGGGGTCTCACGTCGATGCAGCACCCACGTCCAATCCAATCCAAATCCAAGGAAAAGCAACTCGGCCGCTGACACGGTGTCCTCCGACTCCTCCCCCACTTTCTCCCCACCACCACCACCATCTCCCGTCTCCCCCGCTCCGGACGCATCCAGTCGCCTCGCCTCGCCTCACCTCACGTGCGCGCCTCTAACTCGCCGCTCCGGTCAACCCGCCGCCGCATGAGAGATGGTACTACTAGATGTAGATCGTCCAATCCGAACGCATTCCTCTCCTCCCCGTCGGGCCACACCACCCACGGCCTGCCACAGTGTACGTCCCATAATTTATTCTCTCCTTCCGCTGCACTTGTCTCCCGCATTGGTTTAAAGGGAGGTCCACGGAGGGGAGAGGCGGTCCCCGATGGCCCTGCGTCCCTCGCCGGCCTCCTCCCCCCACGCATTGCCGGATTCGAGGGCTCGCCAAGCGCCGCCGCCAAGTGGGCTGCTCTGGCAGGAGTAGTACGGGGGGTTTGCCTGCTTCTTGGCTGGGTTGGCCGAGGGCTTTGGTTTGGGATCGCCGGAGCGCCAGGATCCGGAGGTTCCCTCGAGGCTAAAGGTGGGTGTATACATACGTTGCGGAATTGCCTATTTGGGATCCGTCGGATCGTATCTTCTCGTGTATCTGCATTCTCTGTCAGCGGGCTGGTTGGTTACCTTACCTGAACGCAATTGCAGCAAGAATTTGGTTAAAATTTGCGTTTTGATTAGTTCCGTGTTACCTATGTGAACACTGCCATGATTTCCTTGCAGGTTCTTTAACATTTGACTGTCGAATTTGGTGCTCGGTCTTGAAATTCAGAAAGAAAAAGGCCTTTGCTAGGTTCAACAAGCGATGGCCTCCCCCGGTGAGGAAAAAATGAAGGTGAGATGGTAATTCTATTTCCGCAACCACATTATGCAGAGATGAAAAAAAATTGTCTTCAGCAAACTACATTTGTACTCCAGGGTTGTCGCCCTAAACTTTTCGGTGCCAAGGAGAAGAAATCTGCAAAGAGGACCGACAGTCCAGGCTGCAATGCAGGTCGCCTTTTGTCCTTCACTTTCCCCATGACACATGAAAATACCTTTGGACGTTGTTTTCATCCCATGTTTTAGATTGTAACGGGACATGAG